TCATAATTTTGCTTTATTCTGAGAAAGTGTTGCTTTATCTTTATGATACACGAATCCCATAGTCTTTGAGCACCTGTAAAAGCGCTAACAAATTAAATCTATTATTATTATTATTATTATTAATTAAAGTTAACATTTTAGTTTTTTTTTATTTACCTCAAAATTGTAGTTGAGTAAATGTACTTGGTTACTGTACTTTATGTACCCTGTGAAGCTAACATTCTTCTAGTCGTACAAATAATCTGTGTGTGTGTGTGTGTGTGTGTGTGTGTGTGTGTGTGTGTGTGTGTGTGTGTGTGTGTGTGTACCCTCAGAGTGCTGATGGAGCAGGAGGACAGGGTGAGAGACACCACAGTTGTTCTGAGTGCTCAGCCCGTGAAGAAGAAGGCCTGCTGCAAGTGAAGGGGACACTCAATCTGCCAAGTGCTACATCTCTTTTTGCAGTGTTTTAAGACAGCAATGAATTCATTGTTGGACTTTATCTTAGAAGGTCTTCTAACAAGCAGTCTATTTGGCGCAAACATGAAGAACTGCTGTTTTAATGAGGCTCAGAGGAAGACTTAATTGATAATAAGGTGCTTCTATTTCCTGTAAATAATGCTGTGCTGCCCAATCACAGTAGTGCTGTCTATAAGATTTCAAATGGAAATATATTCTGTATAATAATCACTTTGAATCTTTACCCAATATGTTAATGTAGTTTTATTTAATGTTGACTCTCAAAATGAAGTAAATAATTAGTAATTCAACTGTTTCAATGAAAATCACGTAAAAAGTCCGATTCTTTCACACTTTATTCATCGTCGTCGTGTTTTTTTTGTTCGTTCGTCCGATCTAAACAAAGTGGAACATGTCATATTGCATCTTTGTTTTTGAGCATTCTGTGTTGTTCTGTTTTATTCTGACCAAAGTACATTTTGCTCTGAACTATCCTTAATTAAAGAAATAAAGAAAATTACATTCGGCACCTTTTCCAAAATGAATGAAGCAAACATCTTTCACTTGCAAATCAACAATAACAGAATAAAACACAAGTATTTGCTGCTTCTATACAACTACACACGGCATAATAAATCAGTTGCCCTCAAAACTTGTCGATAAGCTGCACTAACTATAGAAAGACTCAAAACATTTTTTTATCTTATAGCTAAAATAATACCCAAAAAAAGGATCAAGTTCAGTTAGGATGTTACATTCAGTGTGCCCGAGCTTATCGCGTTGGTACAGCTGACGGCACTATTGCTGATGGAAACTGCTCTGATGACATCACTTGGGCGCTGGCAATACGGCATCCAATCGGATGCTTGTGTACGCCCTGGCTGACCAACTGGAATCGTTGTTGGAGAGCGTGTGCCGTCCCCCCCTCTCCGAGTCTTTGAGGAGGGGGGGGTGCTGAGGGTAGTCGGTTGGTCAACGCATTTTATAGTCGTGGGAAATGGCCGCCTCGCAGAGCTGCCCTTTGAAGTCCAGCTCCAGGGTGAACTCCAGGTCACGCTACAAACATAAAAACATTTTGAGTTGATTAATGTAGAAATTAGTAAGTTATATATCCATAAAAGTGTACAAACATTTCCTAAGACAAAAAAATGCACTCAGCTTTACTTAACAGTCTGTTTGCCAGCTCATAGAGTCCTATTGCCGCATGCTAACTTGCATATTTGGATAATTAGCATAAGTTGCGTTAATATTAATTAGCATTGTATCTTTTGTTTAAAAATGGCTTGGCAGATTTGGACAATTTGTGAGTGGTTATGGGGGTTATGGAGGAAGCTTAATCTATATTTTATTTATTATTTATAGGGTCAAAAATTGCCAGTTTTGTACTCCCAGTGGGCTGATTTTGATTGGTCAATTTGGAGGGTTTAGGGGACTCATTTGAAAAACAATTTTCCACAGTAGAGGAAATATTTTTCATCTTGTGCTCTCTATATCCAATGGTCGCAACACTACTCCTGGTAGTCAAAATGGCCACTTTCTGGTTAAAACTGCCATTTAGGATCCTGTACATTCCTAATAATCCTCAAAACCACTCCAAAATTGTCCAAATCTGCCATGCCATTTTTTAACTATTGTCTGCATGGGCTATAATTTAAATGAACACAATTTATGCTAATTGTGCAAATTGCCCAACATAATTATGCACATTAGCATTCGGCAATTTCTATGTGATGGGGACCCTTACTATACATTTCTAACATAAAACTTTGGGGTACTCAACATTTCTGCACTCACAATTAGACTATTACTGTAGGTACTAGTTAGGTTACAAAGAATGAAGATGCCACACATAAGAAATGTGTATTTACGACTGTGAGATTTTCGTTTTTTCCGAGTCTTACCACATTCTTCTCATTGGGCCTGACAGCGATACTGCCAAAAATCTCCTCTCCCTTCTTGACAGTCAAGTAGTCCTCTAGGTAGAACACTGTCTGCTTCCAGTGTGTGGTGGCAGCATCTGGAGCTGAGGAGAGGACCGGAGGAAGAATATATGCATAGGAGAAAAGAGGGAAACAAGTAGAGTAGAATGGAGAGGTAGAGAGAAGAAGAAAGAGACATAAAGGGGAGCATAAGGACTTTAAAAAAACTGGTTCCATTGGGAACTCGGCTCCCTTGGGTAAGGCAGCTGAAAATGGCTCACCCGGTGAGAGAAATACAGAGGCTGACAGGAGAGAACTCCTTCAGTAACGCTCAGCCTCAGGCCCAACAGACTCGGCCAAACATAGAACCTCCTCTACACAATATTATGTAACTACTGGATGCATAAATGTATAAGTTTACATAACAGCTTAGCAACTCTATAATGGGTGTCCTTGGCGCCATGGCACCAGGAGCGCTGTGCGGTGCAAATGTAACACCTGCAGAGTGTGGCCAAGAGCTAAGATGCTGTGAAGTGCTGTAAAATGCTTATATATTTCGAAGGACATTTGGAATATTGGCCGGATAATTCACTAGGGGAGGAGAAAACTGAATGTACTGGTGGCACTCTTAAATAATTCTGTGGACATCAAGCTTAAACCGTTACTTAACTGGTGCGATGAAAAACATTTATTTTTAAATTAGCTATAATGTTGTCTTTCCATTGGTTTTGGGATTTATGCCTTACCATTTTTAACAGTTTCCCTAGTACCATTTATTTGGATAAAAAACTGACCGAAGCATATTCTGTGAATTGTCAAGAGTTAGGAAATGTTCTGCAAAGATAATGCTGCCTGTCTAACTGTCTCAAAGTCTTCTGATACCTAGGCATTTTGAAAAAAACATTATAACACGGCTTAGATGAATACTTGATGCTGATTGGTCAATTCGGACATTTCAGAGGTATTTAATACTCGATAACACAAAGCTGCTAAGCAAAAACAATGACTGTTACTAGGCAGGATCAAGGGAGAGAAAAAGGGAGGTTAGAAAAATGTCCAGAAGAAGACAGACGGGCTCTGGCATTGTTTACAGTAGGACTATTTATTGGAAAACTCTAAAAAGACTTGGACAGTGCTGCCAAAGGTAAGATCTGGCAAGAGTTTATCTCTAATATTATAATTGGACACATTCTCATTGATGTGTATGCTTTCACACAATCCATCCAATGACTCTCTTTGTTCTCCTTTCCCTCTCCTCTGAACAGTGTGAACAGATATCACCTGTGGAGAAGCCGGTCTTCTTGTGACACTTGGTGAACTCGATGTTGAAATAGGTGACCAGGGCGTGGACGTAATCGTTGCGGTGGATCTGCAGACGGAAGGCTGAGGTGAAGGACAGGTCCTCGGGCTTCACGGTGTAGATGTCCACTTCCTGCAGAAAAAAGGCAAACAATCATTTATTATTGCTTATTTTGTCCGTATTTTACAATTCATGAAATCCTATATCGCAATAAAACAGCGCTCCACAGGTACTGTACGTGCACAGACACACACCCACTTGCCATCTCTCACCTACATGTAGTACATTTATATGTCAAACCCTCATGATTATTCACCATTGTTTGTGTGTGAGTATGTGTGTATGTTTTTGTGTGTGAAAGCCCACAGGTTGAATCACGGCTGGCAAACTGAGCCTGCTCACAGTACACATGCTGAGTGGGTGTCCTCCCTCGAGTGTGCAATGGAGGGAGGGTGTGTGTGTGTGTGTGTGTGTGTGTGTGTGTGTGTGTGTGTGTCTGTCTGTCTGTGTCTATCTGTGTGTGTGCGTGCATGTGTGTGTGTGTGTGTGTGTGTGTGTGTGTGTGTGTGTGTGTGTCTATATCAAGCACTGCCTCATGAATATTTCCCCACAGTAAAGTCACATGGTGTTACCTGGCAGGCTTCATTGTGGCCTCAAAAAAAGGATTGGAACTTGTTATGCATGTAATGATGTTGAATTAAAGGGGGGGTGGTTACAAAGATCGCTGGGCCATGTGGCGTCAGCATGACAGATTGTGATTTAACACCTCCGTCCTTTCCAGTGACACCAGTATATATTCATGTGAAAGAGTTACAGACAGTAGGAATTATACTAACTAACCGCCCTCTAACCGGACATGTAAAGCGCCCAGGTGGGGAAGGTACTCAGATCTTGTTTTTAAGTCAAAGTACCAGGGTGTAGGAATAATCTGTTATAAGTAAAAGCACATGAGTATTGGCATCAACATATACATAAAATACCCGCAAAAATTGTTATGCTGATTGGCCCGAGAATAATATATATGATATGTTTTGATTATACTTATTGATGCATTAGAGTCTTATTAAAGCCAGCGGTGTAATGTAACAAAGTCTATTTTTTCAAGTACTGTAAACATTTTTAGGTAATTTTACTTTATTTTCACATTACGCTACTTTATACTATCACCCCAATACATGTATTTGACAGGTATAGTTACTTACTACTTTATTAATACAAAATATAAATCAACTAATACATTATTATATATTATTATAGGTTGAGTTATCCAGAAGAATATAAAGTAATTCAAATAAACCCCACCTTTGAGTAAGTTCAACATTACAGTGTTGAACATATTAATTCATAAACAATTATAATACAATTATTAAAATATTTGGTGCCTGCAAAATGAGTACTTTTACTTTTGGTGCTTTAAGTTTATTCTGATATTTTTGATTTGCTAATACTTTTGTACTTTTACTTATTTACAATTTGAATGCAGGACTTCTTCTTCAACCTCTGATCACAGCTGGTAAAGGTGCTGCTAGTTTGAATGACTTTGTATACTGCGTCTATATATTGTGAATTGAATCCAGGTGACTAAAGTCTGATTTAAGACTTGATTATATTTCACATCATTAATACAAATCTGTAAAGTAACTAAAGATATTAAAATAAATGTAGCGGAGTAAAAGTACACCATTTACCTCTGAATTGTAGTGGTAGCACAGTAGCATAACATGGAAATACTCAAGTAAAGCACAAGTAACTCAAATGTGCACTTAAGTAGAGTACATGATTAAATGTACTGAATGACTTTAAAAATCTGTGTATCTAACGTCCAATAGTTTTTCTTTATTAAACACTTAAACGGAAGAGCATTTGAGAGGCCTTTTTGCCTTTTGCCTCACTAAATGGTCTAATGGTCATTGGAGCGATGGGCGGGGCAAAACTCACGGAAGTGATTTCAAAACAAAAGCGGTGATAATATTATAAACAAAGGGAAACAAGGTGAATTTAGCGATCACAACGAAAAAGGCCAAGACACATATTGAAAATGGATGTTATTAAGGGCTGTTAATATAATAAACCTCTGTCTAAAATGGACAACATTGTTAGGAGATTTAAACTATACAGCGATGCTGCACTGCGATCACTCAGCCGTCTCTCGAGTTTGTTTTTTCAAATCATCTGCTCTTCATTCCTGCTATATTTGACGAGTGATACAAATATGTTTTACCACAAGTTCTTAAGAAAACTGACACTGTTGAACTCGGTTCTAGTTTGACTTCTACCAGAAATAAAATGAAGTACTTTTACTATGTACTTTGTGAGTAATCCTCTGTCAGAGTCCCCTCCATGTTTTTCTGCTATCTTTGATGAATGATAAAAATATAATTTCACCATTAGTTCTCAATGAAATTGATACTGTTTGACGTTGTATTAATGAGCCTACTACTTACAATACATTGAAGTACTTTTATTGTGTATTGTTTGAGAAATACTCTGTCAAAGTCCCCTGCTGAGAACAAAATCAAGCCTGCTAAGTTTGATGAGGGAATTCTTTTTTGTCATTAGTTCTTCATGAGATTGATCCTGTTGGAGTCAGTACTAGTGAAACTACCCCCACGCAGGGGCGCCGCCAGGGATTTTGGGCCCCATGAAAAGGTATCACATTGGGCCCCACCACCAGGCACAATGCTGTAACCACACCTCCCAACCCAACCGACTCATTTATGCTTTAAATAACTCTACCTGTACAGGCTTGCATCTATCTTGTAGTCCAATACTAACTGCACAATATTTGCTGA